ATCCACATTGTTCTATCTCAATACTGATGTGAAGTCTGAACACTCCAGGGTTCCTGTTCTCTGCCTCATCTCTGTACCACTCTCACTCTTGGTTCAGTATATGGCAGCACCATTAGCCTAATGGAAAATTCACTGAGGCATCACAGCAGCAAAAACTGGTAGAGGAGACTGTTTTAAATTAGTAGTTCAGCCTTAAGTCCCACTGATAGTTCCCACTACTGCAGACCCATTGAACCAATGCAGTTTATGTAAGTGTTGACCTACCACTCAGCAACTGTTTCAGTGGGTCCATGCTTAGTTGAGACATTTAGTCAGGGAAAATGGGTGCAGTTTTTTTTTTCTTGTTTTCTATGCTGCCATACTGGCTTGCTGTGTCTTCCCCAACCCCAAGCCAACCTAACACACTGAGGGAAAGCATATAACATGTTTGCTTAACCAGAGCTGGCAGAAGATTTGGCAGAACCCTTCCTTATCTATGTAGCAGGGCACGTCATATGGTCCACGCAGGTCTGCCTGCTCTTTGCCCATCAGAATTTGTCAACTTGAGCCACCAGCCTCATTCTACCTAATTGGTGGGACTGGCCCTGGACTGTCTTGAGGCCTCAGACATTGAGCAGCTGCCCAGAGGTGATAACTTTTGATGCTGAGCCTGGTTGAGCCCAAAGCTTACTAGGCACATCCTCATCCAGTTTGATGGATATTTTGTATCTTGAGTTCTAAAAATCAAGTCATGTTAGAACTTATTTGTCTACATGTTCTACATTTGGAATTAGGCTGGTACTTACATCAACAGCTCCACATAGCGGATATTTTTATGCAGAGCTCCTATTTCCTTCATTTCTTTGTCGGTGAGGGAAAAGTCAAAGATCTTAGCAGAAAAGGAGAAATGGAAAAAAACAACAACGTTTATTACTTTCTGTTTACACAACTGAGGATTGAGTATGCACTCTTTGATGAACACATCTAATAAGATGTGACAGCCAGCAATACGCACAGTGTTGCAATTCTACATTCAAGAGGAGCTGACATTATAGTAAAAAAGGAGATATTGGATAGCAGGAATAATCCAGGATTAAGGCAACTGGACATGGGTCAATTTGAAGAGTTACAAATATGTATGGGTGTACTTTAAGGATGACATTCTGTTAGTGACATACACATGTGGTAAGTGTGGCTTTGTGGTTGTTGTTTTTGTGTGCCTTTGAATTGTTTCTGACTTAGGGCAACTGAAAGGCAACCCTGTTATGGGGTTTTCTAGGCAAGATTTATTCAGAAAAGGTTTGGCATTGCCTTCGCCTGATAGCATGTGACTTGCCCAAAGTCACCCAGTGTGTTTCATGGCTGAGTTAAGAATAAAACCCTGGTCTCCAGAATTGTAGTCCAACACTCCAACCATTATGCCACACTGGTGGCTTTCCCATACATATATCTCTTTGTGAGCTGGAGTCTATTCTCTAATCTAGTCCTTGTGCCCTATCCAAAACCTGCCTCCTTGCAGCTGTTAAACCCTGGGGAGGGCTATTGCTGATTCTTATTGATGGAGAGGGGGAGGCAATTCAGATAATGAAGAAGTGGCTGGTCTGTGCTCTGAGGGGAAGGGAAAGAAAGGTGCGTTCCATCTGTGAGTGCAGTCTCACTTCGTTCCTCCTTTGAGTTGGGGCTTACCACTAACTCAGGGAAGATTCTTGAGTAATTTGTTTATCTGAATCAGATCAGATCTGAAACCAATATTTTCTTTTAGTTTAGGCTATTTGTTTGCCAGTCTTCAGGCATAGCTCCACATCAGCTCTCTTTCAGAATAAAGCAATCATGTGGAATCTTAAGCTGCAGAACCCAGAGAGGGCATTTTAGCCTTCCTCAAAATCTGGGGAGAGAGATGCAGTCTAGGGAGAAAATCTTCCATGGTACTTTTACCACATTTGTCTTCATTACATCATTGTAGGCTGACCAAATGCACATTGCAGGGGGACCAATATCACCACACAAATATATAGTAATGTAAAGTGCTTCCTCAAATGCATGGCTGCATGAAATATGGGTCCCAGGTCTGAAAACGGTGAAGATCCTTGGGGTGAAGCTTGCATTCAGTCTCATTGACAAGGTCCCCACAGAAGCTGTGCTACCAAGACTGGTGGGTGTTGCTACTTTGTCCAGTGAGAGGAGACAAAAGAATGGTAGATGTCTTACTACTTGAGAGGTGACAACTGTGCTGCTCTCCAGATGTTGTTGAATTGGCTGTGCTGACCAGAGCTGCTGGGCGTTTTATTTATATCCCATGCTACATCATACAATCTCCAGGTAGTATACAATAAAATTAGTGTCCAATTTGAATAATATACAATTGATGAGACACAGGACTCAGCCCTCAGACAGGTATATATAGGTAGAGACACTCCTTCAAGTATTGAGGTCTCAAGATGTTTAGGCTTTAACAGTCATCAGCAGAGCCTTGAATTCAGACTGGAAGTGTTCAGGCAGTCAATGCATCTCTTTTAGGATCTGTGTTACATGGTTTCTTTGATATAGTGCAATCAATAATCTTGCTGGTGCATTTTACACCAATTGTAGCATCTAAATTGACTTTAAAGGCAGGGTTACCTACATTAAACAACAGTAGTCTAATATGCAAATTACAACAACATTTGGAAGGCCACACATTTCCCTCACCTTGCACTACATAGACCATGGGCCCTTTCATATTATATAATTATAGCACTTTATGTTCCACTGCCATGTCAATGTTCTATAAAATCTTGGGATTTGAAATTTAGGGAGGAACATTTAGAATTCTGAGTCAGAGAGCTCTAGTACCTCACCAAACTAGAGTCCCAGGCTAGACTGAAATTTTACCTGGAAGTTTTCTCTAATACGCTTTGGGTTGAAGCTTTTGGGAATGACCACCACTCCTCGCTGGATGTTGAAGCGGAGTGCCACCTGAGCTGCTGTCTTGTTGTATTTTTCTCCAATGGCATTCAGAACAGGGTCATCCAGGAGTGGAGGTGAAGACACATTTACCCTTGTTGTGTGGGACAGGTGGAGACATGAAACAGACAGATTTTCCATATTGTGCAGGAAACACTTTTGAGAGGTGGGAAGGGATTTTAGAACCTATTACTATGTTTTGTAAACTCTCATTCTAAGTACATCTGTTCTCGAGATGGGTGCATTATTTTGGGACTGTTTTTGCAAGTCACCACAAGTCTGTGGCACAATAAAGCCAGCCTCTTACCAGCTTGCATCTCTTGATGTTCCCAGAGGGCTGTATCCAACAAGAACAATGTTGTGCTGTTTGCAATATTCTAAAAGTTTGGATTGAGTGAAATATGGGTGGCACTCAATCTGTAGAGATAAAATGAAGAAGGTAGGATTAAGAACAAAATGAAATCATCAAAAACTCTTGTTTTTACACAAATCTCAAGCAGCAGTATCTTTTCCCCTGCAAGAAGAAAAGCAACTTAGAACACCATTTGCAGGGAAGAAAGCACCAGATGGGAACGTCTCACAAAGGTGCTTCATCTTTGTTTTTCCATTTCAGAAAGGAAACACACATAACCAATGCCTCAGAGTCAGACAAAACCTCCACTCAACTCAGTATCCCTTGTAGCTTTCTCATAAGTTAGCAATTCAGATAAAACATTAGCTACAATTTGATAATGATGATGACAACAATGTGTTGTTGTTGTTGTTGTTGTTGTTGTTGTTGTTGTTGTTGTGTGTCTTCAAGTCATTTCTGCCTTATGACAACCGTAGGGCAAAACTATCATAGGGTTTTCTTGGCAAAATTTATTCAGAAGGGGTTTGCCTTTGCCCTCCTCTGAGGCTGAGAGAATGTGACTTGTCCAAAGATGCCAGTGGGGTTCCATGGCCAAGCAGGGATTTGAACCCTGGTCTCCAGAGTCCTAGTCCAATGCTCAAACCACTACACCATTCTGCTTTCCCCAAAAAACAAGGGCACAAGGAAGCCCTATAGAGGGGGGAGGGCAAAGAAAAAATTGATGAAGGAGGAAAGAAGGGTTTGGAAATTGATCACTATAAAAGAGGTTCTGTAGAGAAAATGTTTTCAAAGATAATGACAAAAATAACTCCCAAGTAATGAATTTTAATTAGACAATATGTTACGATGCTTCCAAAAAACAAATCAATTTCAAATACAACGTTTTCCACAAACAAAATAGTTGTATGAAGTAAATAACAATGACTAGGACAGAAATGCTTATTGGGCAAAACATCCTGTCATAATGATTTTAACTGTTAATACATTCTTGTTTCTTTGCATACTTGTAGAGAAACTGTCCCATCTGATATTCTTTTTAAAATGTTACTCTGAAAAGCCAAAGTTATTCAATTTGTTTTTCCCAGATGAAACTGAACATCTGTATGGTGTCAGCACATGTTAAAGTTGAGAATGGATTGTCACACACAGCTGAAGATGCACCCAAAGTGAGTCCTGCAGCATACCAAGTGTACGTACATTGAAAGGTTTCCTTGTACACATCCAATCTTTTAGCAAGTTCATAAAGAGATAGTGTTGGGATTTTCCATGATTCTACCATATCCTTTTCTTTGGCTGTCTAAACTTTATTTCTAAATGCTCAACTGAAGTTCTATGTTACTGTAATGCTAGAAATCTGAGGACTGAAGGAAAATGTCATTTTGGGAACAAGATTCTTGTTTGGGGGGCAATGCCCCCATTTGCCCTTCTTTGTCTTTTCAGCTTTGAAGGCATCTGAATACATTCTTGGCTGAAAGAGACTTCAAAGCAACTTGATTCCTTGCTATAGATCAGGGGTCGGCAACCTACAGCCCGTGGGCCGCAGCCAGCCCGCGGACCCCCACCAACAGGTCCTCGTGGACCTCTGCTGCCGCGCGTGCCGCTGCCGCCACCAACCGCTACCACAATGGCGGCTTTGACTCATTTGCACATGCGCAGTACTCTTGCGCATGCCTGAATGAGCGACAGCTGCCAATTTGGAAAGCAAAATGGTGGCCGCGACACACATGGCCAAAATGGTGCCGTGGAGGAGGCCCATTGCCTCTGAGGGAAGCCTCCCGGGGGGCACCCGCAGCAGCACTGGGCCTCTAGGAGGCCCGTCGCCGCTGAGAGAAGCCTCCCGGGGGGCACCCACAGTGGTGCTGGGCCTCTTGGGAGGCACGTCGCCACTGAGGGAAGCCTCCTGGGGGGCAACTGCAGTGGCACTGGGCCTCTCGGAGGGGGCCCCTCCTGGGGGCCCCCACTGCTGTGCACATGTGCACGCGGGGGGCGCCACCATTTTGTTTTTCAAAATGGCGGTGGCCGCGACCGTGGGGGGTGTGCGTGTGCATAAGCGTGTGTGACGGGATGGCCCCCAATGCCATCTCCCCCCCTGGCCCATCAACAAAAAAGGTTGCCAACCCCTGCTATAGATAAATGGATGGATGATAGGCAAACCAACAACCCACCAGCTTTTGAGAATTTTGGAGCTCATTTCCTCTGGATGATTATCTTTAGCAATGCAACAACATGTACAAGTGATGTGCCTACACTGCCAACCTGGTGCCCTTTCAGGTCCTGTTGGCTGTTGCCCCATAGCTTGCCCTTTTCTGGAACCTATTTTGGGGTGGAGCTGAGCTCTGGAAGCAGACTCCTGAGGTTGATCTAAGATCAATGATGCACAGAATATGTGCAAAAGGGCCCTCAGCTTCAAATACGCTTTTATTGGAATGGCCCAGGTTAAAAAACAACCATGGTTGCAATCATGTGCAACTTAATTGGGTGAAAGCACCACTGAACTCATTTGTGAAGAAAATGTGTTGAATAACAGGCTACACAAATACCTCTTGCAAGGGCTGTTAGGTCCCCCTCCTGCTTCTGTCTGAGCTGTAAGGGACCCCTTGACACCATCTAAACAATTTGAGCCACAACTAATTTGAATCCCCCTTTTCTTGTAACTCAGTAGAAAGTTTCTTTGAGCTTCCACTTGCATTTTCAATCCCTGATGCTGCAGAGACTTTCCCTCAACCTTGGTGAGAAAATGAAACCAAGCAAAAGGCACATGGGAAGGAATTTGTATGAGAGATCTACTTCTAAAGGAAATCTTTTCTTTTAAGTAAGAAGTAAGAAATCTTACTTAGAGCCTGTTGGGATTTGTAACCTGAGTGTAAATGTCCAGATGTGGGAAAGTGGCAGAGGGTACTGCAAGTCACTTTACAGCTTGCTAGCTGGGAAAGTCGTCTGCGGCTGATACTCAAAGCAAGTCAAAAGTGCCCAAGGTCAGGATGTGTCTGAGAACACATAGACAAGTTGTAAACACATTATCTCATCATGTTTGGGAACATAAATCCATGTGACATAGGAAAAGTTACAGGAAGAGGCTGGACTTAGAGGCTACAAGGCAAGTGTTTAAAAAACGCTGAGATCACAGCATATTGTTGTTGTGTGCTCTGCTCTGCTGATGATTACTGAAGATAGCTCAGCTCAGCTTAGCTGGCTGGTTAACTCTTCTTATTGTTGTTCCTGAACGGTGGTGATTGTATATAGTTTTCTTTGTACATACTACAACTAAAGAATAAAGTGCCTCTTTCGAGTTAAACCTGTTGTCAGTCTGCTTCCTGGAAGACTGGAAGGATACATTCCAGAGTAGCAGTGAGACAGCTCCAAGGTCTCCTAGTGTTCTTCTCAGTGAAGTGAACTTAGCTTCTGAATTACTCTGTCTGCGTACTCAATTGCTACAACATGGTGTAGTGGTTTGAGCATTGGAATATGATTTTGGAGATCAGAGTTCAAATTGCAGCTTGGCCATGGAAATTACTGGGTGACTATTAGCAAGTCACACATTTTCAGCCCCTATGATAGGTTCGCCTTAGGGTTGCCATAAGATGGAAATGACTTGACGGCACACAACAACAACAAGACATCTACTGTAGCAAAAGGATATCTCTGACATGAAGGCACTTTCCTTCAGGCACATTTAGGAGTTTCAAGTTACAGAATAGACTAGATCATTTCAGCCAAGACCACCAAAATAACCATAGGCCCTGATGTAAGCTGTCTAAAGAGTTCCTAGCTATTCATGATGTAGATGGGATTTGTAATCCTTGATGTTTATGGGAGTAGCTAGGAGTCTGGATACTTTTGTCCAGTCGCTTCTTGTGCTCCCAGGTGAGACAGGTGCCCCTGCCCTCAAGTGTCCTTTTGTTCTTCTTTGTTAGAATCTGCCTCATAGTCCTCTCCTGGTTTTTTTTTATAACCTGTGCTGAGAAAATGGTTAACACAGCTGAGAACAGTCTTCCCTCCAGATAACAAAGAGTTAATGATGTGATGAGGTTACGTTACATTTTTGTAACTTTGTACATTGACCAGAAAATGGTCAACACACAACCCAAATCTGATTGTCTGGGAACAGCAGGAGGCTAGAACAACATTGGCTGTGAAAAGACTATTCCCTCAATAGTGTTGATCAGTTCACATTTGTTCCCAAAGTTTTCTGGCCTCAGTCTATGAATCTGCAAGGATACATTATGGGTCATTGTTCCTTGGCTACCAACTCAAGGAACACACCTTCACTTCAGAGATGGTAGGTGTGTGGATTCAAATAATATCAAAGGCTCAAATCACATGATGATTCTGACACATTCAGAGCATCACTGTGTGATGTGAACCCACTGGAACTTACAGTGAAGCCACTCTTCAATGGCTTTGCCATGGACACAGTTCCAAAACTATATTAAATTTGGGGACAGCTTGAAAGTCACTGGGAGACTACAAATCCCAGAATCCCTTTCCAGCTGGCTGCAGGATTCTGGGAGATACAGTCCCCCAAATAACACTTATGAGCTCTGGGTTGGGTTTGGGGTGAAACTTCGAAGCAGAGAAGGAGAAACTTGGTTTTCTCCAAGTCTCCAAATACCTTTGTCAGCACTGATAAGTGTACACACAGGCCAACATTTTATGGGTATGTTTATGGAGTTGTTCCAATTCATCTCAGGATTGATGAAAGGAGTGTGACATTTACTGCAACAAGAGTCCCCATAAAGCATTAGCTCTAGTGTATACTATCCTCCCATTTGCTTGAACTGGAGGCTCTGAGAGGGGAGTGGGAAAGACTTCAGTGGGGTTAGTCCTTGTGTTTCAATGACAAATTGGAACACACTGACCTTTTCTGGTTGCCAAGAAAACTGTGTTCCAGCCCTCTAACACAGGGTTTTGTCCAAGAAGTGCTTAACAATTTAGTGCCTCCTAGATAACCTTTATTCTAATAAGGGCCACAATTATTTTAAACAGCTTTATTAGCTTCAGAACATCTCATTTATAGTTGTTAATAACCAGAAAACTGGCCTGAATGTCACAAACAAAAAGTAATGGACTGCATTTGTTCACTCTCAATCTAGCATCAAGTGCATGGCCTGCAGAGGAGTAGCGAGAGTTGCCATTCACAGCATTGCTTCCTGGTGAATGGAGGGTTCCTTGCCATATGGCCACCCCTCATGTGGTGACCACCCAAAATGGTGGCAGCAGCATTTCAAAGGTCAAATGCAGGGTGTATGTGTATATAAAGGAATCCACAAAGTCTAGAACAGGAGTAGAAATCAAATGGCTGTCCAGCTGTTGTTGGACTGAAACTCTCAGGATGTCTCTTCTTTGGCTGTGCTGGCTAGGGCTGCTAGGACTTGCAGTTCAATGATATCTGGAGGGCTGCATGATTCTCATCTGTTTGCTCCTTTTCCATAACAGAATTGTAAGGTAAGTGTACTTTGAGAATGGTCTGAAATGGCTCCACTGTAGAACCACTGAGCTAAATGGACTAACAGTCTGGAGTGGTAGAAAGTAGCTCCTTATGTTCCATGCACTTAGCAGATCCAGGATTGCTCAGTTTCAGCATGACTGCTATATGATACTGCATGATGCACTCTTAGGACCTGCCTTGGAACTTGGAGCAATGATATCAACACAGGATG